TAATGGACTTTTGCTGACACCAGGACTGAAATGACAATGCTTTATGGATTTGTTTATAGATCAGAGATAGGATATGGGAAGAAGAGATCATTTGTTATATTTTGTGAGAAGTGAGGTGAGAAGTTACTAAAATTGTTTATACTTGTTATGATGAAGGTGGGAAGTCACTTTGTGTGTGTGTGTGTGTGTGTATATATATACACACACACACACACACAAAGTATATATATATATTTACTATATTCTTACTTTTCTTTCTTTTCTCTTTCTTCCTTTTTTTTCTTTTCTGTACCTTCTACCCTTTTTATTCTTCTATTGTTTTTAGTTTGTATTAGTTTTTACTGTTGTAGTTATAATCTTTAATAAAATTACTATTAAAAAAGGAGATGAAAATTCAATTTAATTAGAGATTTGATGGAATCACTTGAATCAAATTTTAAAAGCCAATATGTGTGTGTGTACATATATATATATATACAGTATATTGCAGACAACTGATGCATTTTAGATTGTGTGTGTGTGTGTGTGTGTCTTTGAGTCCGTTTTTGACTCCTGGTTACTGCCTGGACTAGTCCCTGCTGTTTTCTTGGCAAGATTTCAGGAGTGGGTTACCACTGCTTGCTTTCTAGGACTGAGAAAGAGACTGCCCAAAGTCACCCAGCTGGCTTTGTGCATAAGGCAGGACTAGAACTCACGATCTTCCGGTTTCTAGCCTGATTTCTTAATCACTACACCAATTTGGCTCATTTTAGAATATAGGGAGTGGGATAAGATAATATTAAAGGATCCTTCTTCTTAATCAGATCCTCTATGATATCTCTAAGCTGAGCTATCAGTGTGGGTGCCCTGTGGTGGGCATTTTACAACCAGCAAAGGGCAACCAATTGACATGACTTTATTCTGATGGCCATCCCTGGGCAAGCTGGGGGTTTCCCTGAAAACTAAATGGGGAGCAAGGATCTATTTGGACCTTCATTCTGTGAATACCTCATCCTATGACTAAACAAACATGATACAAATACCAAGACTTTCGGGTACCTTCTTAAAAGAAAACTGGGTCCCGTGAAATCTTGCCCCTGTGAAATGTATCAGTAGTTTGATAGAGGGTGTATATGTAACAATATCTAATACTTAGGAAAGATATGGAAAGAGCAATCACAATTACCAGATTGATATCAGCATGTTTTTATTGATATTTTCCATCAAGCGTCAAACCAGGTATACGATCGTGAAAATAATATATTTAAAATAACATAAGACAAGGAGTTCATGCCAGAGCCTTGGATGCACAGCTGATATGAGCATTCAGTCTACAAAGGGATATATGCCCTATACCTGAAACTTCCCAAACAGCTATGAAAATGATGATAATAAAACCAAAAAAATGCTGTAAGTGTTACATCTCTTGGTGTTGATAGATTCTTTAAAAAAAATATTTTGTGGGAGGCCAATTATCCATCAGATGGATAGATAATCTGATACACATAAAAAAGCCTTACTCTTAATTAAAGTAAGATTTAATCAGCAAACATTTTCTAGAGTGTGCCTATTACCCATGTAATAGAAACATGTGTGTGTGCATGTATGTGTATATGTGTGATATACAATCTAATCTGGAACAAAGTCATGGTCAGTACTCTGGTCATTGGAGGGCTGTTTTCATTTCACCATTTATTAAACATTCACCTATCAAGCACCTACCAAGCTACCTGCAATGTAGAAATGAGGTAGTCAGTGTTACAGGATATAGCTTTCTCCATACAGATCCATAGAAGCACAATGAAAAAGTAGAGACAAGGAAGATCTGCAATAGGGCAAAGATTGACCAACATTTGCTTCAGAAGTATTGTCCTGGCCGCCTAATCTGTTGTATAGTTTTAAATTTTATCTCTCCTTCTCTAAAGGTCTATTATGGAAAAGCAGGGGTCTGGGAAGACATCTGATCACTAGTATCTAATATGTTAGCCAGCATTATGTAGAGACCACAGTTCTGAGGCTTCCAAGTATTCCATGGAGCATTAAGCCCCAGAGCCAGCTGTGAATCTAAGAAACAATAGGAGCCCTTAGGAGTGGAGGGAAGAAAGTAGAATTCCAGAAGATCATTTATCACTTTGGCCTGCTGAATGGAGATCCGGTTGACTTGGTACCTGAAGCTGAGATGACCTTTTGTTTTGTTCTCTGTACAGCTCCCCTTTTGAATGGATGATCTATTGATTAGTTTTTGGAAACACAGTATCTTGAGCCTTACAGGAGCCTGAGGCATTCTCACATGGCTTTTTCAACACTCCTTAAATGGATCTTAATACAACCCTAGAATCAAAACCTGTCCACAGCAATTTGGGGACTTTGGATGTTGCCGGATTAAATATCCCATCACCTCCTATATCCCAATCTTTAGAAGCCCTGCCCTGGGAATAACTGGCTAGAGAAAATGGCACATTATAGCTAGTGGGAAATTCTGGAATCACAATCCATGTCATTATTTCACCTGTAATCATCAGTGCATGGTGATCTGAAAGGTCCAGGAGATAATGGCAAACAGCCACAGCTGCTTTGCAGGGGAGGAAGAGAGGGAAAAAAGGGAAGAAATGTTTTACTTTGGTTAGGACAGTGTGGGAGAGAAGCCAGCAGAAGTTATATAGTGGAGGAAGCCTTTTTATCTTTCACTTCAGCTTACTGGGTGGACAAGAAGAGATGGTTGCCTGCCTGCTTTGCCTTATATTTGCCTACAATCTTCTGCCAGTACTCTTGGCTGGCAAAGGTAACACTGAGAAAGGGGTTTTAGAGGTTGAAGGAGCCAGGGCAATTTGCTGTTAGATCCCTATGTGCTGTTGGAAACTCTACTTCCAGTTTCTCTCCTCCTCCTTCTTTTCTCTTTCTCTTCCTCCTCTCCCCTCTCAGTCCTGGTCATCTCTGACCCTTTTCTTCTCTCCAGATTGATCAGGTAACAACATTGGCATGTCTTCTTTAATGGCTGTTTTTTTTTAAAAAAGATGCTATGACATTGAACTTAGAGGTCATCCAGGTTGGACCACTCTAGTCATCTTGTCCTAATGAAACCATCTCACTAATGACAGGAGATGTTTTTCAAGCTATCTCTTCAGGGAGCTGCAGCTAAGGATTGTATACAATTCTTTGAGGAATGTGCATCTCGGAGATGACTTTAGTTGGCTCTTAATTGGTCTGTTGTAAGAAGGGGCAATGCCAACATCAAATTTAGGATGGGAGAGGGTGTTTTCCAGACTTGAGTCCACCAGTATAGATGGAGTTGTTAACAAAGATCTCTCTGCATTTTCTTTTTCCATTCCATAAGGTTTTTCTCCTATACTTTCATCTTACTTTCCTTTCCTTTAAATCAAGATTCAGCTTCTACTTTATAATATAAAGGCTTATCCTTTATATGCGCCAAAATAGATTGAGGAAAATGTTTTCGGAAATTTGTTTGGTAAATTGGATTAAAAAAATGGGGTTGAAGTATTTGTTTGGGTGAGTGTTTTTTATGTCAGTGAGAATGTTGACAGTCTATCATGCTGACTAAAAGATGAGGAAAATTTAAGAAATAATCTACTTCCATACAGTTTAGCATATTTAACAGAAAGCCAATGTAGCTGGGATTTCTAATGCACATTTCTTATATAATTTCTCTTCTTTGAATTTCTTTTGTTTGTTTAATGAACCTGTTTAGGTGGGCAATGCCCTTAATTTCTTGCAGTTATGATCTCCAGGCAAACAGAGACCTGTGAATCTTAAGGCAGGGGAAACTCCACATGTGCAGCAGGGATGGCCACATTTAGTTCTGCCTCCAGGTATCAAGGGAACATTTCATTATAGCATTAGGATGCAGTTAGAACAACTTAATTAGATGATATAATTGAAATAACAGATGACAGAATTGAAATAACAGATTTCCAGGGGCGATTCACTTTTTGTATGTATGTAAGCAAATAACCTCCACACTCAATTCAATTCATATACGCAGAAGAACAATTCTGAAAATCCCTACTTGGATAACTACAAATCTTGTATCAAATGGAGACTCTCTTTTATTGTATTAATTTTTCAGCAAGTGAAATTCCCCACATTTTTAAGTATCACTGATCTAATGAAAGATGTACTTTAGTTTTCCAGAGTTTGCAGTTCCAAACTGGGGACTCACAACAGGAACTGAATCAATCCCTTAGGGTGCATATATATGTATGCCTTAAGAAAGAAGGATAAGGCACAAACAGTAGGATTCATAGGAAAACATTATTGGGTAATTCTTTCCTTGAAATGTCACCTCTGAATGCACATGTATAATCCTGTTTAGCTGATCGATTAATCCAGTGTTTTCTGCCCTCCCGCCCCC